CAACTTTGGTGTCAATTAGTGTAGCTGTACTGCCGTCATCCAGTAAGGCATAAGTGTCGTAATGCCCTGCTGGACCACTAACAGTCACAGGTACAACTTTTAATAAAACGCTTGGTGTGAATGCGGATGTTTGAGCGTTCGGTGTAAATGAGGAAGGTTGATCTGTAGACAAACCTACAACTTCTTCAATATGTGGCTGTGAAGACGATGGTTGTACGATTTGGTCATTGTGTAGCAATGCGTGGTGTCTACGGGTACAACCATTGACGCCACATGCCTTTACTTTACATGTGTTCCAAGTATGCGTACTGATTTTGAGGCATCTGTAGCACGCTTTATTATTGCGAACCCAACGCCACCTATCTTCGGTAGTAAGTAACTTGAACCCTGAACAGTCTTTTATGTTGTGTGCTTTTTTACAAAAAATACAAGTATTTGGCGGTTTTATGCCACTGACAGAATGCGTAGATATTTCGTACCGGTTACTTGATCGATGAAAAGATTCTTTAGGGGATGGAAGAACTTGTGCGTCAGGAGACATGCCAAATTGAATATGTCGCTCTAATTCCCTTACTAAAAATTCGCTAAGAAGTTCCAACTTTGGCTTATTTTGGTTGTTTTCTGACGCGAAGTCCGTCCATCTCATTCTAAGAGTGTGGTTTAATTTGCCTACTATGCAATAAAACAATTCCGGGGAGTAAAGATATTCGACTTGATTGAGTAACCGTATTGAAGCTACACTATTTTGTACAGCGGTAGTAAATGATGGCAAGCCCTTTAATTCTGGCGTAAGATTAGGTAGTTTCTTAAGGGCGGCTACTTCATGAAAAACTATCACCTCTGGGCGAGCAAAATGATACTCCAGTTGCTGCATGATGCCTTCAGGTGCGTCAGCCAAGAGCAGGAGATAAGAGACGGCCTCTCGCGCTGGGCCACGCAAAGCATGCTGAAGGCGGGTCACATTTTCTAAAGGAGAATAACAAGTATTAGTGGTGTCATAAGCTCTCTTAAAATAAAGCCATTGCGAGGGATCGCCTGCAAAATGTGGTAACTCTATTGTCGATTTCTTAAGTGACGATTGATTGACTACAAGAGCCTTAGTTGTAGCTGCTGTGTCAGCTGCAGCTCGTATCATTCCTGACAAGTCGGCAAAAGACAAATTGTCATTATGTGAACGACGATAAGTATCAGCATTAAATGTTTGTGACGAAGCGTCTTTATCATCAGAATTTACGTGAGGTGCTGATGAGGTGTCCTTTACAATAGTGAGTTTTTCACTCGTACTATGGTGCAGAGGTTCGGGCAAGTTCGCAACCGGGTTAGAAATATTAACAACGCCCTGTGTGTCAGTCGGTCGTGACTGGCTGGGAAGCTCGTCATCGGAGTGATCGAGCCTCGTTGCTACTTTATTTCCATAAGTATAAACAATCGGTACCTGTTTCTGTTCGGTCATGTCGTTTACCCAGTCCTTTAACCTTCGAGAAGAAACGCGACTCCTTTGTGAGGCCCGTGAGCTACCTGACTCGGCCTCGATTGCGGCGAGTTCTGCACGAAGTTCCACTTCCTCGGTTTCCTGTTCCATAGCGGCCAGTTGTCGCTCTCGTTCTAGTTGGCGGCGGCGTAATTGTGCTTCCGCGGCCAGCTTGCGTGCTTGTATGGTTGCACTCGATCGCGTTGTCGTGGTGCTACTACTACGTTCACTGATGTTATCCTGACCATCCTCCATTGTCATCGTGGGGTGCTGTGCCCCTGAATCGGATAGTGTTCGCGTTTCTGCCATCGAAACCTTTTTTGCGTGGATTCTTGTGATGGGCATGTAAGCGAAAAAACAAAATAAATTACGGGAAAAATATACTGGTTCGTTATCCGGCTCGAAGGACCAAATATTGTTGAGGATAGGAGGAGGATAATGGATAAAAACAGGAATAACGTTAATTAAATATATTGTAGCACATTAAGTACAACAAATATTGTTGAGGATAGGAGGAGGATAATTGATAAAAACAGGAATAACGTTAATTAAATATATTGTAGCACATTAAGTACAACCAGAATTTTAGTTTTGAGTGACAGCAAAAACATAGATAAATCGTAGGTATAAAAATGACAACAAGTAGGTTTGATTTGCCACACTACCGTATATCCTTAGATTAAAACAAAAATGGAAGATACGGTAAGCTCATACTAGCATCAATTAAAATATGCTCCGACTCAACTACATAAGCAACTCTCACACACGCACACTTCTGTAAATAAACATTCTATTGAGCGAAACAACTGTACGCTTAAACGCAGCGCGAGCAAAACGGCGAATTCGGGTCGCTTGGCAACCGACTGCGTTTTCTTTTCTTTCTCTACAAATGGCTGAGCTGTATTGTTGTCCTTTTCTAAATAACAAATGACCACAGTGTTGCACAGTTCCGTTTTGTTCGGAAAAAAGGAGGACAATATTTTTTCTTAGCTCCGCTTTTAAATCACTGACATTCATTGACACGTAATCATATTTGCCATAATTAATCGCAGTTATTATCAAATAATCACAACATCATTTTTATAAGAAAAAAAACCCGCGTAGTCAACCCAGCATTTGACATTTCGGAGACCTTACGCTACACAAGCGCCTCTAGCGGCGGATTCATACGCGATAGCCCTCATTTAAGCGGTACACTTTTGAGTCGCGATTGCCGTATCGTCCCTTTTTGTTTTAATTTAAACATCTACCTACTCATTAACATTAGTAGACGCATAAAAAAATGTACTAGCATAGGTACGAATATATTTGAACTCCCTTACTTAACATGTTATATTTAATTTCATTCAAATCAAATAGGCATTGAATAAAATTAAAAGATGAGAGGAACCGTGCATTTGGTAATGATACGAGTGTGTACCTATATAGCTTCATCGTAATCAAAGAAACGAAGTATTTCTCCTATACGTTCATTAGAAACAACCTCTTTTCAAGGAGATGGATCAGAGATTTAAACACAAGCAGATTGCTTTTCAAATATATTTCAAACTGTTTCAAATAATACGAGAAAATTAAAACCTTTTCCGTTGAATACAACCTAATCAGCGAAATTACGCGCACGATTCCAATGGCAGCTGTCGAATTAGATTTGAAAATTTGAAAAAGGAACGGCCGCCATTGTAAATTCAAACGAGGTGTTCCCGCTGTTCTAATTGGCCACAATTCATTTGAGCGGGAAGTGCCTTTATTTTACGGCGGCAATTCGATTAATGTCCACGAAGTAGGCCCGGATTGGTTTGAGTGTGGACTGACTGTAAATGCTGGATTACTTAAGAATTAATCTGGCGATATTATGACTCGGCGAAATAATTGTGACTTTTGAATTAGAAGTTTTTTCACTGACGGGACGGGAAAGTGTTTCATGTTTGATTAAAAGCGTGGCTCAAAAAGTTCTCTCCGATTTTCTTTTATTTTATTATAACTTTTAGCTTTTCGTGAATACCTACTGAGTACAGAATTGATGAAAAGGGAGATTTTTCTCACTTAATTTATTTCCATGGTTGCCAGTTGACAATATAATGTATAGCCAAATCACCCATGTAGCGTCAACTTAATTGATATTTATACACTTAGTATACACCTACTTACATACTTTGTGTTTCTATTACAAATTACAATTTCCTTCCTAAATTACTAAAAATAATGTTATTTTTATAATTGAATATTTCGCCAAGTCAAACCTGTTTATGCGACTGACTTACCTTATCTTACATTCTATAAAGACCTTCATAATACATTGATAAAATGTACATTACGCGCCGCTTACTGGAACGTATTAAAGTGACATCAAAAAGGTAAATTTAAAAAATCAACTCTTTCTCATTTTTTAGTTAGGATTATAAGACGGTCTATACCGCAGTCTTGTCATTGCAGTAAGGCTTAATATCTCAGGGATTATTAAAAGTACCTTGAATTGCTTATCTAAATTTCTTCACCCACCATTCCCGCAGTCTACTCCTGCATATTAGACCGCGCTATCACTTTGTAACTTTTAAAATATTTGTCTAAATGGCATAGTGTAAAAGAAAAAGTTTATCTTCTTTAATTATCAAAAGTAATTGTTTAAATAAAAAAAAAGTTAATACCATATATGCATTTTGGAAATAGATATCAAATAATATTTTATTTTAGATTCACTATTTTAGCGATAATGACTTACACATTAAAGATAGATATATGCTGTCGTGGACTTTATTGTCGATTTTTTAGATACATTATATTCGTGTAACTTTTATTGTTTTTGCAGAGCCCAAAATGGCTCGCAGATGGGGGATTTTTTTCGTCTTACGTGATACTTCTTGGTGTTTCTTCTTCCGCAGAGGAACATATTATATTTTGGTCAAGTCAATCAATAACTACATAAATTATAATTTATATGTTATTATTATTATGTATTACCTATATTATTGTTAAGTTTCATTAAAATCCATTCAGTATTTTTTGGGTAACAAAGTTCCATACAAACGTAAGATTGAAATCAAAAGCGCAAGTGGCTAATATACAACTTTAAATTATTGTAGATCCTAAACAGTCATATAAAATGAAAAATGGTGTAAGAAACTTTAACATGATTTTCGATTATCTAGAAATGATATATTTCGTCAACTTATTTTTTTTATTTCTCACAATATGGCGCCTAATTGTCCCCATATTGAATTTCGATTATTATCATATCCTTAGTAGCCATTTCCATGATAAAGACGAATCGATTGACGTATGAATCATTAAAATCAGTCCACGCGTTTGGTCTCTAGTGTGCCACAAAGGAACATATGTATTATATAGATTGTTAAACACTATACTGTCTGTGCGTCGCGTTTCGCCCTTACATTGCGCAGTCGGGTAAAAAGCTTTTGCCATGTGAAATTCTTCGTCCATGTTACGTGTGGGGTCATTATTATGTTCTTTGCTGTTTACGAATAAAGACGAATATTCTCTGAGAATAATTAAAAAAAAAGTTTTGACGTTTTGACTGAAGTTTTGAAAAATTGATCTGTCAAGAAAACCAACAAACATGAGTCATGGTACAGATCCGTCATATTTTTTTTAACCAAAACTCCTGACAGTAACCTATAAAACCATATCAGATCAAAACAAAGCAGATGCCGATAAATTGACACTTGCTCCATAGAAATCTACCGAGTTGCTTCGTCTCACCGTAATGGGTAAACTGCCTTACGCCTACACCGACTCGGACGAAGAAACATCCAGCTCGGTGGAGAACGTCAAGAAGAAGAAGAAGCTTTCGTGAGTTTGCTAATTTCTTTTTACGATTTTTGTTGAGGGAAACGCATAGGTTGATTATACTAATGCATATAAAACCGCGGCTGCAGGTCGCAGTGTCGCCTTGTTCTGAACCAATTTCTTATACCGGCCATACACACTACGAGAAATCGTTACGATCAGACTGTACAGTTCGAACGGAACAGTTTATACGATTTCGTTAGTATAGGAAACTGTGCAGTTTTATAACATTCACGCTACGATTTATCGGTACCGTTCGGACTGTACAATCTAATCGTAACGATTTCTCGTAGTGTGTATGGCCGGTATTAGAGATTCATAGAAAAAAATGATGTCGCTGAAGGTGCGGATGCAGTTTGCGGTCTGCGACCCATCTCGGTATGGCACCTTTAAGTTCCACCTTACCTGAGTTTAGGTGTGATCAGCTACGCTCATTTTACTAGCCCACATGGTAAAATTTTCTTCCTGGGTAGGGTTGCCACCCGTACCTTATTATAAAGTATTATATGTTATTTGGGGTATTTATACTCTATACTTTATGCCAACAATAAAGTACGCGAAAATACTTTGTTTAATGTGATTTTTGATAGGAAGAATTTTCGCATAAAACGGACAGACAAGTATAAATATGTTGCTTGCTTAGCTAATTCCTGCAACATTTTCGTGGCTGCATGCCTTTGTATCATGACCTTTTCCATTGCGGAAAAAAATTACAGTAGCAGTATTTATTAAAAGTTGCTAGTAGCAAAGTAAAATATATTTTAAGCGAACTAATAAGGTGGAATAAAAAGTACTTTATTTTGGACACAATGTACTTTTTTTTCTACCTTTAATTAATATCCAATGTACTTTATTTCGACAAAAGAAGGTGGCAACCCTATTCCTGGGCCCAAGAGATGATACTTGTCATTTTTTTGTTGAAAAGGTATCACCTCTCGGACCTAGGAAATACAGAATATACGCCTATACTGCATTTGCTTACTCCTGATCCTGTGGTAATAACCTAACCCAGACTTACTGGGTAAAGTTCCACTATTTTCCCTTAACAAGGAATTAGGTGACACATTTCTTTCTCGTACCTAATTTCCGTATACGGGAATTCTTTGCTTGTACATGTTTGCTTTTTGCTATAATCAACTCAACGTGGGGAATCTTTAAAAGAAAAGTAAAGAAGGAACTTGTAGGCTGCTAGGTGATGATGGCAAATATGCCAGCTTTGCAATAGGATACCACTATCTCTTTCCTTTTCTGAGCATTTACTTTATTTATATATAATAATATTTAATTTGTCTTTTTATATAAGTTCTCCTATATTGTAGAATTGTTTTGGTTAAGTTGTATTGTAATTATCTCATTCTGGTTGGCCGAGGGCTTGTTGATCTGTAATACAGGTATTTCTATACCCATGTCAGACACCAGCTTCTCACAGCCTACAGATATATCATTTTTGTATTCACCTATTACAATAGCATCATGTTGTGAGGAGAAATAAATAAATATATTATTATTATTATTTCAGTTCTTTTATCGAGGATACGTGCGATTCCCAGTCGGCATATTTCGTCTTAATCTGTGACTTAGCGCGAACTTAAACGAGCAAGATCCTACCCACTTACAAAAATGGGGAATCTCAAAAGACGAATGGAGAGCCCTTTTGGAAAGTTATCTACGGCACATAAGACTGCATTGTTTTATACTAGGCGCAACAAATTGGCCCACCCACAGAACATAGAAAGAGGTAAAATCGATGTGAACGAATAAACGCTCACAGTCACGGCTGTGAGCGCTGATTCGTTTGGATGCTTGATGCCGCGTCGTTTGATTGGCTTATTATCTATTAGCTGGAAGTGTAGTGGGGGCGAGCCGGCGACATAGGTTCTCATACTGGCGATCGCTTATCACCCTTCTAACCTCTTTCTGTGTTCTGTGGGCCCACCCCATTTGATGTTTAGTGTGAGAGGACTCCAGTCGCGAAGATAGGTGATGTGGCAGGTGTGCCGCTGGTCGCTTGTGTGTTGTGTTGTGTGTGTCGGTGTCACCTTGCCAGCCGGAACTAGGGTTACCATCCGTCCATATAAGTCCGGACATGTCCGGACTTTTAGACTATTGTCCGGACTTTCTCCAGATCATGAAATTGTCTGGATTTTATTGAATTACTTTAAATATGAATAATACAAGTACATATTGATTTAATTACCATACCATTGTAACTAAGTGAGTAATGGTACCATTTTGTGACTAAAAGTCCGGACTTTTTTCGGATTGTCAAGATTTTTGTCAGGACTTTTGTAATTCCTACATGGTAACCCTACCGTGCCGCATTTCCACTAGGGTTGCCAGATGCTGTCTTATCAATTCCGGGAATCCATCCCCCACATCACACCTCACTCCAGAAATAAAACAAAACAATATAAGGCTTCTGCCGATCAATTCCTGAACAGTTGAACCCCCCCCCCCCCCTCAGAATTAAAACCCTTTATATAAAGAAGCCATAGCTTCTGTCGCCCGTCGCCGCCCAATCCCAAATAAATACATCCCTGATGTATGTAACGCGGTTATATTTTTGTAATATTGTGAACTGGCATTTGGGGATTCCGGGGCAATAAGGTCTAATTACTAGATAACGGACAAGACGCAAAACTCCGGGAGAATCCCTGATTTCCCGGCCATCTGGTAAGCCTAGTTACCACGCCGTTGCACGTTGACGGCGTCGGGACGTGGAGATGTCGACAGGCACTAAGGTTGTCTTAGATGTACCGGGTAAGGGTTTGATAAGGTTATTGTTTCCGGTCTCAGATCACATTAAGAATTTATAAAATTCTACGGAATCCTGTCAAAGAATATTTAGGAAAAGAAAGGACATTGACGAAATCGGCCCCAGTGTGCACAAACGAATGTCCTTCACTATTATTTTTTTACTTTATTAGCAATAAATCATAGTAAACGGACATGCTCACGCACGCACCTTAAGCATTTGGTCCTGGCTGCACCTGCAGTCGTTAGCACTACCAATCCTCATTGGGCCCGCGTGGTGGGTCACGGCCCAATCTCCCTATTACATGCATTGGAAAGGCTTGTGAGGCTGTGATGATGATAAGGATGTCTACGTTTGTCACTCTAGCATACTGAAATGTTCAACTGGGAACTTGAAGAAGAAGAAATGTAAGTTCCACGCAAAGTCGGAGCCGGATGACTCTGACTCCCGCAGCCGCAGCCGCAGTCACAGCAACCACCGCTTCGTGTATAAGCTACACGGCATACTGAAGAACGACAAGGAAAAAGAATGTTAGTAATAACATAACAAGATACAAATGTTATATGTTTTCTCTCATGGTCACTAACAATATACTAATAAGCGGGATTGCTACCATGTATAATCATAATCAAAATCATTTTTTCCATTTAGGCTTGTTGAAAATATATCGATGTATCGATATATCGATATTTTTTTCCGATATATTTTGATTCGATATATCGATACAAAATAACCAATATCGAAATTCGTATCAAAAACGATATTTTTTTAATTATTAGCGGCATATCACGATCTAACTAAATTCGTATCTGGAAAAATCGTAACTGGATCTCAGATTAATGATATTCAACATATCTATGATCTGTGCTGTATTTAGTATTGTCTATGTCATCATTCGAAAATAGGGTCTATTTTTAGGGAGATAATTTTCGTTCCATTATTATTCCGCGTGTCATATTTCGTGAACTACTGTACGATATTTTTGGGAAAATTGGTCCGATATATCGATGTTTTTTTCGCGATATATCGAAGCCGATATTGATATTTTTTAAAATATCGATGTATCGATATATCGATATTTTTTTCAACTTTCGACATCCCTACTCACGTTAATGTCTAGAAGTATCATCCAATAACAACGAATTCCGCGTCTTTTGAGCTCTCATGCGCCCTCTATCGCACGATATCGCACCTCGCAGAACTCGCGGCACCTCTACAGCCTTCACCAATATCGAAAAAAATTAATGTTCCTTGGTTCAATACCGAGGTGCTATTTTTTGAAATTCGGCCCCGTTCTCGAGATTCCAGAAATTTCGGTCGAAAAATGTCGGTTTTTTTCGATTTCCAAAAATTTTTTTGCCTTTTACAAAATATATTTTACATGTTTTTATAGCTCTTCAAATTCCGCCTTTAGTCCTCTACGGCCTCGTGGCCCTAAACCTCGGGGTATCACGGGCGAGTCGCACTTTCAGCGAAAATGGGTGCCTACTGGAGCGAACGAAAAATCATTTTGAATGTTAAAAAGCATATTTACTATTTAAAATCGTCGAGGTTAGCAGTTGATAATAATAGAACCGATTTTGTTGCGTCCTTTATAAAAGATTTACGTCGACTAACCACCAAATTAAAGTATACGTATTATCCTGGATCCTAGTTCACACAGGGTCTGAAATATTCTTAGCTTTCAGAGATTAAATCTCGGCGGACGGCTTATGTGTCGACCCGGATGGTCACTATAATAAGTTTGTGGATCAAGGGTCCACGCTTAATATATTATGCTGGTACTTCACATTGCTATACATATGTAAACTTGACAGCATAATGTATCCTCATTGTTTGTAAAGAACAGCAAATATTTGTGCTCATAATAGCCTGCGTAGACGAAGGATTTTCGTCCGTGAAGGACAAAAGTACCTGAATCGGGAAAATATGAAACTCTAGCGCTGACCGTTATTGCGCAGAAGTAAAAATTAAGATGTCTTGGGGGGAAACGAGGTGCGCGGGTGGGCGTGCATTGCGCTGATTGGCTCTCCCGTCGTACCCATGCGCTGCTATCCCCTCCGCGTTTTGTTCAGTGCTAGAATTACGTTACGTGCCGCAACATGTATTGTCACGGACACGGTATGCGCACATTTGTTGACCGGAAATATAGAGAAACGCACGTTAAGGAACAAAATATTCTGAGATTACGTTATGTGCAATTAAAACTTAAGTGAAAGTATGAAAATCTATACTTATAATAAATCTGTAGAGATGTCAATTCTGTACATGAAATATATTTTTAAAATAACTATCAGGGGGTGATTAGTGATCGATACTGATGTCAAAAATGCAATCAGTAAAATTTTTGTCTGTCTGTCTGTCTGTGTGTATGTTCCTTATAGAAACAAAAACTACTCAACGGATTTTAACGAAACTTGGTACAATTATTCTTCATACTCCTGGGCAGGTTATAGTATACTTTTCATCACGCTACAATCTATAGCAGCAGAGTAGTGAAGGGAAATGTTGGGAAAACGGAAGAAGTTACTCCATTTTTTAAGCTTCCGTCGCGGGTGCAGCCTTAATGGTTAAAGTTACATAGAAATCATGTATGACGGAAATATTCTACATAAAATTGTCTAAAAAATATCCCGCAACAGCTTATGTCTATCTTTTATGGTTGACTCACAATAACACGTGTAATTATATAAATAAAGTCATTCTTTATAGCACAAGCCTGAAAACAAAAACTATAGTTTACACTACAGCTCTACACCGAAGCGAAGCGAGGGCGGGCCACTAGTAATTTAATAAATATGTACTTAATACAACACAACAGTGGGCCACATGAAATGCTGATGTTTCATAATATTTTTGTGTGTTATCAAACTAATATTATAAAGGCGTAACTTGTTTCTTCACGTCTTCACTTTGTTACTCCTTCACGTCTAAACGGCTGGAGCGATTTTAATAATATTTGGTATGGAGTAAGCAGACACCCTGGATTAACACATAGGCTACGTTTTACTCCGGGAAAATATCCCTAATAAACCGCGGGTAACACCGCGGGGCACAGCTAAAACACTTTTTATAAGTATGTGTGTGTCTACATAGTACACCAATATTATAAATATGTTTTGAACCATTAAGAGTTCTTAATTATAATAACCTGCCGCCATCACTCAACATACCACATAGGACAAACCAGTGAACCAAATGTTCACCAAAACCTGATTTAAAAAAAAAATGTATTTAATTAATTGAGAACTTCGGAGATTTTGTGTGGTTTCGTTTGAAATTCGTGATTTCTCGAAAACCGGAAGTGCTACGTTACTCAAATCCGGTTTGTAGTCTTATCAGACTATTCTTAACTTATAACTTAAATATTCTCTTTATCTATCTCTTACAGTTTGGCCGCTGAAACAGCACCACAGACAGACGGACGGACGGACGGACTTGTCTAATAGATAAGAGATACTGGATCCATCCCTTAAAATCGGATAGAGCGCGCAAACCGGACTAAAATTCGTTGTGTGCGTTACTGCGATATGTCACATGAGTTTTATTTTATTCGGGGACATCCGCGTACTTTGGTCCAGTCCGGTCTCTCGGTGTTAGGGTTGATAGGTGGCCGGGACCTACCGGGATTGTCCCGGAATGAGAGCATATGTCCCTAGAATTGAGAAAAATGTCCCGGAAAATTTCAAAGCTGTTTTTTTCACAATTTTACTATAATTTTTAGGCCTTATGGGCTGCAGAAGCCATATAAAGGTATTCGGTAAAGACCCATATTTTGATTTGATGTTTTAATTCTAGAGGATGTCCGAGAATTGATACATCGATATTGATGTTCGCGGTTGTTTGGGGTACTTTAATACCGTCGTGTGATTTACTTGATGAAGTTGTAAGCGAGTTTTGGCCGACAAAAGTGCATCGTCTGCGCAGGCCATAACACTTTGTGTGCTTCTACAGGAATTAGTACCTGGGACCATTACCGGGAGCATAGGGAGGATAGCTGCTTTTCAGGTCATCGTAACAAAATAGATAACGGTCGCCTGTTGTGCACAATTCAATCTTTATGGTTCGTTTTTCAATTGATATTAATATTATGGATTAGATTTTTTTGTTAATCTTTTTTTTTGCCTAAACAGTAGGACACGGCATTCCTAAACATTTCTAAACTTTGTTAAACCAGTTTTTAATATGTTTTTTATTTTATTGTCATTATTTTTATATTATTTGCATTTGTAATGGAAAGTGACTTTATGAGTTACCTCATATTGAAGTCATTTTTAAATTTGACGACTCTGTAAGTAATACAGGGAGAAAAAAACAGCCCTTGCTGAGTTTCTTGCCGGTTCATCTCAGTACAAGGTCTCCCGCCGTAGATTTGCGAACCGATGGCATAGCTTTTCGACATTCACAAGTGCTTGTAACAGCCTAGACTGAATAAACGTTAATTTTTTTTTTTTAATTTTTTGTCCGAAAATCGAAAAATCTAACCATAATAAAAAATAATCTTTATTTGATAATGTGTGTACAAGCTGAGTGTTTATTATAGCTAAAGATAACAGAGCTACTGATGATTGTCTTCAGATGTCTCCACGGATGATGACGAGGACGTCGACCTGCCCAGCGCCATGAAGTCCCAGGACCGCTGCCTGGTGGGGCGGGTGCCGCGGCTGCCGGGGGCCAAGCCCGGCCGCGGTGGGGGCCTGGCCATCGTCGTGAGGAAGAATGTTAGCGTGAGTAGTTTATACATCACATTATGTGGATGATGACGATGATGGCGACCTGCACAGGACCGCTGCCTGGTGGGGCGGGTTCTGCGGCTGCCGGGGGCCAAGTCAGGCCGCGGCGGGGAGCTGGCCATCATCGTGAGGAAGAATGTTAGCGTAAGTACTCTATACATGTTATTACTTGGGTGATGACGATGATGGCGGCCTGCCCAGTACCGCTGCCTGGTGGGGCGGGTGCCGTGGCTGCCGGGGGGCAAGTCCGGCCGCGCCGGGGGGCTGGCCATCATCGCGAGGAAGAATGTTAGCGTGTGTACTTTATACATCACATTATGTGGGCGATGATGAGGAGGTCGACTTGCCCAGCGTGATGAAGTCTCAGGACCACAGCCTGGGGCGGGTGCCCCGGCTGCAGGATGCCAAGCCCGGCCACGGCGGGGAAAGATAGGATTTTTTCAAAAACGCAAGTCGCCTCAGTAAGATTGCATTAAGAATTGCTAGTAGGTATATTATAAATATATCCTTGAGTTTTGGGTTCTTTGGTTCTGATAATATTTTTGGTTTATGTACATGACACAAACAGTCAACATAGTTCAAATTTCATATCAAAGTGTAGAGACTACTAAATCCCAAACGTTAGAGTTCTCAGACGTTTGGCACACCCTGCGCGGCGCGGCCGCGCCCGCGTCATCACAGGCCGTCGGACAGCACCTTTAGATTGAGCAATACTAATTCGCACTGAGCTCTCGTGAGTTGGCCCTGGGTAAGGGCATGTACCTAAACTCAAATTCTTTGACTGAAATGAAAAAAACGAAAACTACGCCATCGGTTTGCATAAAATACGTGCACCAAACACCCTTTCACCATAAATAATTAATTTGTTTTGCACTTCCAGCCTTTCATTGTTATTCCATAAATGACACCAAAATTTTGCATTATTTCTAATTCTCTCAATTTATTTCGCTGACGTAAGACGAAAGTCGTTAGCAGCGAGTAATCTAAAATCCCAAGATCTTGCCGAAGTTCGTAGCTGCATAGTAGGCCCCAGGGCCTTTAAGGCGTCTGCCTTAAGGCGTGTCACAAAGCCATTCGCCTAATCTCTCGTATAAAACTCGCGTTTACCCCATCCAGTAATGTCATCGCTTCGTCCATTTATCGAATGTTGCAATATTTTTCTATTAACTCGCGAGATACGAACGGATAACCGCGCAGATTTAAACTTATTCGATGGTCATGTGTTACTTAGGATGCGTCCACGGTGGAGCTGGCGATGAGTTTTCTAACACTTACTAACACTAAGTGTTGGCGGGTGTGGCTTTGAAAATCGTAAAAAGTATTTGTTTCTTAGGTTTTCACGCACATCACTCATTAAATAAAACCAGTTTTTCACGGGTTAATGCACGAAACTTTATTTATTTATTGACGTTTCGCAGCCTTTACAGGCTGCTTCGTCGGAATCAATTTTTTATTTAATTTTGTCGAGACTTCGAAAGACTTTTATTGAGCGTTCGGTTATTTCATTGTTCGATTTTTAAAGTTTTATTGTCTATGTATGAATTTATTACTTAATTTAGTTTATAGTACTTTATTTTAAATTCTTTTTTTTAATTTTGAGTTTATTTATTTGACCCTAACTACCGTAAACTACCACTGGTTCCAAAACTGGGAGACCTTTCTGAGAAGAACCGGCGAAATAAACTCAAGAGAGGCTTTCTATCTCCTTCTTATATTAAATTATGTCTCTTGAGTTTGTTTCGCCGGTTCTTCTCAGAAAGGTCTTCTAATTTTGGAACCGGTAGTAATTTACGGTAGTTAAAATAAACTCAAAATTACATAAAAGAATTTTAAATAAAGTACTTTATTAACTAAATTAAGTAATAAATTCATACATAGACATAAAACTTTAAAAATCAAATAATGAAATAACCGAACGCTCAATAAAAGTCTTTCGAAGGTAGCTCGGCAAAATTAAATAAAAAGTTTATTCCGACGAACATGGGCTTATAAAAAAAGGCGGACAGAGTTCCGGTAAACAATAAACTGTGTCGCTCAGAGTCGGCCACACAATAGTCAGCCACTACGCGTGCAAACGTCAAAGCAGCCGACACGTTACGTGGAGATAAAAAATAACCTAAACAAGATATCTTGCTTGTAAAAACCGTAGTGACCGAAAGAAAAAAAATCCAGGAATCACGTTTCATAGGTAAATGAATAATTGAATCACTTTTTTCTAGTTTTAAGAAATCGAAATCAATTTTAATTTTAAGGACAAAATGATTAGTCTAAAGCCCAGTGTTGCCAATGTTCATGTAACCATATTACCTAAAATATGGGAAATTGGGTTGACATTAACTTCAATCTATTATTTATTATTCTTTTTTATCAGATTTCCTAAAGAAAATTACTTATATGAGAAATTACTGGAAAATGAATGATTTCCAAACAAATATGTAGTAGTGTCATTTTAGTCTTCATTTTGAAGCTCAAGACTTATATATGTTACGGCTTAAAACCGAAGTGCGGCTACACCTAGTTTTAGTCGGCTACAACTAGGTGCAGCCCGCCACATGCGGTAAACTCAGGTGTATCCTGCTTATCTTCGGATACAACTAGGTTTAGCCTTCATTATAGCGGCTAGAACTAGGTACAGCCGCACACTGGTGGTTAAACTTAGGTGCATCCTATTTATTATCGGCTAGAACTAGGTTTTCAGTTCACTTAAAGATTTTGGTTTTATTTTGTGATTCGTATCTTGCGTTTCCTGATTGATTCGATTTTGTATCATTACCCCGGTAGATAAGATAATATTATCCTAGACAAGCCATAAACCATGCCAGTCCGAAACAAGATTTATACTCGTAATTGTGTTGAATTATATTATGAACTAAAATGAAATTTCGTCTTTTAATGTGGAGATTCCCTCTGTAGTAAAAGCTAAAGTAAGTAGGCACTAAAGAGTTCGTCAAATTGGCAGCGCGGTATAGACGAGGGAAAGGAGTTGGCGTCGCGACCGGCCCGCGCGCAGTCCTCCGCCCGCCCACCGCACGTCCTTGGCCTTGTGTAACTCCGAATGCCATTCAAGTTTATCTTGTTCAAATAAGTGATACAATACAGTGCAACATACTATCACATAATATGAGTGTTTGTTGATTTTTGTATAATTAAAACTGAGTTAAAAAGTTATCCTATTTGTTTTAAAAATATGAGAGAAGAGAACATTATTATAGTATTTTGTGTAACTCTAATTGTCATTCAAGTTTATCTTGTTCAAATAAGTGATAGACATTCTTGCAACATGCTATCATATATGAGAGTTTGTTTGATTTTTGTATAATTAAAACTGAGTAAAAAAGGTAAATTTAAAAAATCAAAAAACCCGACTGCTTATTTATACTTCAAATAAAAACTGAAAAGAAAAAAACAAGTCCAGTAGTCTATAATTCTGTTAATAAGGAACAAAGCTACTTTAACAGTCGGGACCCATTAGATATTCAAGAATACATAATATTTTTCAACAGTGGGTCCCGACTGTTAAAGTAGCTTTGTTCCTTATTAACAGAATTATAGACTACTGGACTTGTTTTTTTCTTTTCAGTTTTTATTTGAAGTATAAATAAGCAGTCGGGTTTTTTGATTTTTTAAATTTACCTTTTTTATTTCACACTTTTTAGTTAGTTAGTATTTTAAGACGGTATATACCGTAGTCTTGTTACTTCAGTATGGGAATTAATATCGCGGGAATTATTAAGTACCTGGCGTCGGTCTAAAAGATTGATTTATTAAGATATATAAAGACTTTACCAGCGGGGTCAAGGCTACAGATGGGCCTCAATTTTCGCAAAAATGTGTGAAGTTAAATCAAGTCGTTACAAAAATATCTCTTATGTATGTAAATTTTATAGTAAACTAGCACTTACTCCAAAAGTCATCTTTGGTTTAGGTTTTTTTTTAATAGTTTAGCAGTAAATATAAAATTCATTTACTTTTATTCGTCGACTATTTAAAATTGGCAGTGGCTGCATTGTCATGTCAATGCCGGACGTCTAAGATTGTGATATACACAAATTCAGTGTTAGTCCCTAGTCTCATAATTTGATAAACCTACATAAATCACAGAAACCCAATATGTAGATGCCAGAAGTTAACTTCAAATGTTTTTAATCACCCTATATACAATACCAATCAATGACGTTTATGTAATTCCCGTCTGTTGTTTTGGACAATGGTGGCAATTGCCTTAGATCACTAAATTAAATAATTATGCAATCACCAAAGCAAAGTTTATAATATTTGATTAAACTAAAGGCGCATAATAAAATTTTCATAAAGTTAAGTAGAGCATCATAGCAATCTCATTTATTATCAATTTATAGTTCTCTTTGTAGTTTTCTTTTAAGCGTTCACATTTAACAGGTCAAAGACTTTGTGTTCGACCCTTTTTTTATTGGTAGTGTAAAGCTCGAATGAAGAGTACTCCCAATAGTGCAATCATGGCAATTATTTTCCAAATTTTTTTTTGTTTAAAAAAATACCGATTAACATATCACTGTTAAGCACAAATGCTAAGTAACTTTTACAAATATAATCAAATAAACCTATTACTTACTTTATTTTTAAATCTTTTTCATCAATTAAATACTTATCTTATCCTAACTATCTATACTAATATTATAAAGAAGCAAGATTTGTATGTTTATAACAAATAATCTGTCAAACTACTGAACCGGTTTCAAATATTAATTCATTATAAGGTAGCTATGTTATTTATTATAACATTTTTCTTTATTTAAATACATTTTGTGACATAGGCTATATTTTATCCCGATAAATAAATTTCGCCCGTACAATGCCCGGGTGGATCACTAGTAAGTATAATATAATATTATAGATGCGATAGTGAATTTGTTTGTTGCGCTTCCGTGCCCTAATAGCTAAATCGAATATAATGAATTCCCATATAGAAGTAGATGGGAACTTGGTTCTTAGCTACAACATCGCAATACTTATAG